CCAGCATTTTTTTGAGTGTAGCATTGGTGAGCTTTAGAGACTTCTTTGAAAAAATACTAAATATTATAAAGCCAAACTTTTGAGCAGCATTGTATTTTTTATTTAATTTTATTTTTTTTGTATGCCACAAATTATGGCAATAAAGTCATAATCTCTGCAGTGAAGGCAGAAATAAGTCAGTTAGGTGGTCTGGTTACTCTATAGTTAAAAGTCTGAATTTTACAGCTATGATGTATATGTGCCAGAAATAAGACTATGTTTCCTATGTCACTTGGCTTTTAAGGACCAAAGCAGGTCCCCACAAGAAGACGGAAATCATTCCAATCAAAAATATTCCTGCGAATCCAACCACATAAATATTAGAGCACATTATACCCGGCAACCACCAACACAGATGAATTTACCATCAAATGAAGAGTTTCCTTTTTTACTCTTTATCTACACTATGCTTTGTTCCAGAAGTTTATTTCTAAAATGTCAACATTTTAGCCAGAATCACCCATGTTTTTGTATTGTATTGCATCACTCTTACCTAATAAACAACACCTCATTTAATATTGATTACAGTAAATTATCAATCTAAAATACTGAGTGTCACAAGTCTGGGAAACCAAATAGTCAGAAAGGTCTTGATAACCTGTACCATCACACCTGATAAAAGTTACAACACACCCTACCCGCTGACCCAAAACAACACTGGGAATGACTGTCAGATGCAATTCTGTGTCCAAATAATAAAATCAACCACATTATATAACACCAATTATGAAACGGAGGCAGCATTTATCAACAAAGAAATCCCAGCAAATACATCCACTGCCCCACACTTGAACTCTATGATGAAGCTGAATATCTGGATGTCAATATTTAGCTACCTGCTTGTTTGTTTTCATTTGATTGAATTATGTGTGTAGGAACGATATACCAAATATTTGAGGTTATGCAGCAATATTTGTCCCTACATGTGAATTAGGTAGCTGGTGTGTTGATTCTTAAATCAGTGCAGGATCTGTGAATAAACACAGATGTATGTGCTTTAATAGACCAATAATCAAAGTCATCTTGCAGAGGAGTTAAAACGCAGGAGGAGAGATAGTCAATATTTAGAGAGTCATATTTGATTTTTTTTTTCTATAGTGTAAAGGTTTCTGGCTTGGCACACAACCACTGTGAATGGAGTGTTTAGGGCTGGCGCGTGTTAGGATTGACCCTTAGCGGAGAAAGAGTGCGTGCCGTAGGTTTGTACCCTGGTTAAAGCAGCGTCCCTCTCCTCTATGACGGCTTTCATCTCCTCTGAGGTGATCTGGGAGCGACGCTCTCTGGCCCTCTGGATCTGTTCGATGATGGCCGTCCCGCTCTGCTCGATAGCGAGGGCAGAGTCTGCACTGTTAACCTTGTTCAACAACTCCTCCAGGTCCTGACCAAAACATACAAATGGCATCACAACTCATATCAGGCACAAAATGTGAAATGCCATTTCAAATATCAGTTAAACACATATTAAAGGAATAGTTCACACAGAGATGACAATTTACTGACAATTTACTCTCCCTAAAATGAGTAAATGAGTTTCTTCATCAGAACAGATTTGGAGGAATTTAGCATTACATCATTTGAATGAAATGTTTTTAAATTCAAACCATTGCTGACGGCTAAAATATGAGTTCTCTATCCATAATATTGCTTTCTCCAGTGAAAAAGTTGTCTCGTCTGAATCAGGAGAGAAATATGCACAGACCAAGCACTGTTTACTAGAGAAAAGAGTCCAAAACAGTTCTTAACAAATATGTGGGTGGATTTTGATGCGAGTGGACAACAGGGGATGGACTTTTTCACTGGAGGAAGCGTGATTATGGACTGGCATTTTGGCCAAAATCTAAAATGCCTTAAAGACTAATTTCAAGTATGGGTCACCATACTTGGCCACATGTCACGTCACTTTACTTTACGTTTTTTACCTCTGATTCACGCAATGCCAGAATTGTTCGAACTGTCCTGAGCGGCGGCGCGTCTTCCTGAGCGCATTCTCAACAGCAGGCGCATGTGATGGATTTGATTCTTACAAACATGCAGCTTTTCACTTCACAAGGCATTAAGTGTTGGACTGGAGTGGTGTGGATTACTTGTATTCTGACGGCACCCATTCACTGCAGACCATCCACTGGTGAGCAAGTGATGTTGCAAAAAATGTGTAAATTTCTCCATGAAGAAATAAACTCATCTACATCTTGGATGGCCTGAGGGTGAGTACATTTTCAGCAAATTTTAATTTTTGGGTGAACTATTCTAGTTATTAAACCTTACTATTTAAGATTTAATAACTATTAATTTCTTACATTAATTTGTTCTGACACTGACATTGCAAAACCTTAATTTTATTCAGAGGCCCAAAATGAGCAAATATGCAAAAATATGCAATTTAGTGCAGTTGCAGATATTTATATGGCCAAACAGTAAGATGAAATTCTGATTGCTTGTAAATCAATGACATCTTTATAAGAGTACTGCAGACTACTTGCATTAAATGCATATAAATATCAGCTGTCACTCTATATCTCTTAATAATATGTCTGAGTACAATGATATTTCAATACTTAGTTTAATATTCAAAGCTCTGTATGCAATGCAGTACAATGATGATTGAGAGATGTACAAATATAAATAATTGTGCATCAAATATGATGATACAGAAGGCTTTAAACGGTCAAATGCAGTTGGAATTACTCCTGAATTTGTAATGGATGGCATACTGGTAACTACTGCAACATTTTAGCATCTCACTACTTGTGTACAAGAAACATAGATGCCAGTAACCACTTATTTGCTATTTTTGATGAAAGAAACAGCAACTTGAGACGTTATGTCTATCAATTATTAGCAAACCACTGTCAATAGAGGCATGATTTAAGGTATCATTTATGTTCATGCGCAATAGATGCACAGACAATTAAGAAATCTTTCATCAGAATAAGCATCAAAACAAGCCTTTCCTGAGGTTGTGTTTTCATTTATGACAGTCGG